CACAACACTGGCACATTTATTAATTCATTAATGTATCACATTCTCAGTTCTTATCCATAACTAAATTCATGGCTCAGTTTTTTACCCAACTAACTAAAACTGCAGGAATACAGAGGAATCACTTTCATATGTTAACATTTTTTCCAGTTTGCCAGTGTTGAAGGTGTAAAAGCATCTCTCTATATATATAAATATATATTTGCCTAAAAATAAATGTTTTTATGAATTCATTGATACTCTATTTTTATTTTTCAGGAACTACATTTAAGCTAATGTGTTGTTTTCTTCTTTAGAAAAGAAAATCTTTGCAACGATTTTGTTTGGAAAAACTGTATTTCTGAACACTTAAATGTGTGTGAGTGCAAGCAGTTTTACATACAGATTTTCTGTTCCTGTTTTAGATAACAAATCTCACTTTCCTTGTGTGCTTGCACTATAGGTTTGGGCCTGACAATAGCTGACTAACATGTCCTGAGCTGTGAGAGGGCATAGCAAGAAGGCCTTCATGCGGTAATGACCCTTTTCCGAGACAATGGTCATCATGGATTATGCGTTTCCAATTATTTGTTACTTTATTTATTTGTTGCATAACTCTAAATTAGAAAACTCACTGCTTCATGGCAGTTGGTTTGCTATTGCTTCCTATGTAGGTAGAGTCCATTTTATACTACAGACTTTTCTGATCATTTTTAGACAGGAATGGTCATCCTAAGTATGGATGAATGGTAGTTCTAATTTGTGACAATAGTCCTCGAAATACCAGATAATGTAGAACAAATTACTTTTCCTTTATGGAGTAACCATATGTGATAATAGAATACAACTCAGTTATGCTAATATTTCGACCTGATTTACTAAGAACTGCCTGGCTGCAGGAATAGTCTCTACCTGCATTGCCTGGGTATTAAATCAAACTTCCAGCCAGAAAAATTGCAAAATGCAAAGATGCGAGACTACATATAAGCTTAATTATCAGCAAAAACAGCTAAGCCATCGTATTTGAAATACGGCAATCAGTATAAGTAGCATTTGTTTCTAGATAAATTTTAAATAGCTTCTCACAACCAGAATGTGTTTTGTGTTTTGTGTTTCTTTTCTGAAGGACCTTGATGTGAAAGCAGGTGGTGGCTGCATGATGACCATTGGAGAAATGCTGCGCTCTTTTCTGACTAAGCTTGAATGGTTCTCTACATTATTTCCAAGAATTCCTGTCCCGGTGCAAAAGAACATTGATCAACAGATTAAAGCCAGACCTAGAAAAATCAAGAAGGATGGCAAAGAGGGAGCAGAAGAAGCAGACAGGCATACAGAGCGTAGACGTTCAAGGTTATAGTTTAACTTTCTCAAATAATTGTTTAATCATTCTCTAGTAATTTGGCATAATTGTTGCATTATTTTGCTGTTGTAAAATATTATTTATCTATTGCTATTAACACAAATAATACATCGCTTTGAACTAACAAACTGCTTCATCTTATTTTCTCAGCTCCTCTGTAAGATTAGTACATATTCCCATATGGTGGTTAAGTTGTGATAAATGGACTTAGTTATTAGGTGTTCGTGGTTAAAGTGAAATTTCATTTGAACACCTCATATGGAGGTAGTCCTCAATGACCATTTGTTCAATGACCATTCAAAGTTAGGATATGCTGAATGAATGGCAGTTACAGCTGGTCCTTGAAGTTATGGTTGTTCTTGCGCCCTGCAAGTCATGTGACCAACATTTGGTTACTTAGCAGCCTGCCATTTATAACTGCACTGTGCACTTCAATGCCATCCCCCCTTAACGATCCCTTTTGTCTGCCCTGTATTCCTCTAACACTGTACCCTGCTATTACATCTTCTCAGTTTATTTATTGATCTTTATTTCTAAAATATCATTTTTGCGATTTTATGGTTCTGGATTCTTTTATTTATATAAGGTGACTTCTGTCTTCTGATGGGGATGACAATTAAGTACTGATATAAAGTATTTAATGTAAATTCAATTCAATTCAATTTATTAAATTTATATGCTGCCCTTTTCCCCCGAAGGGGACTCAAATTAAATAGTCACCCAGTTTCGTTGGGGATTGGGGGGCATTGTACAAATACAATTAATTCATTATGCTAAGTAGATGCCAGAAATTGGTCAAACGGTTGCACCCTGCCTCTGGGCATTTTCTTACACATTACATCAGGTATGATAAATTAATAATGCAAAAAAGAATATTCTTAAAGTTGACAACCCAATAGATGAAAAAGATTAAATGTTCTACAGTTAAAATCTTGTTCTGAAAAAAAAAAAACTCTGTTTCTAAAACGTTTTGTCACTTTAATGTAGGTCTCCAAGAAGATCCTTGAGTCCTCGGAGGTCACCAAGAAGATCAAGGAGCAGGAGTCATCATCGCGAAGGACGGGGCTCGTCCAGTTTTGACAGAGAATTGGAAAGGGAAAGGGAGCGGCAAAGGTTGGAGCGTGAAGCTAAGGAGAGAGAGAGGGAAAGGAGACGGTCCCGAAGCTCTGATCGCGCATTGGAACGGAGGCGAAGCCGGGAAAGGCACAGAAGTCGAAGCCGGGATCGGAAAGGAGACCGGAGGGAGAGAGAGAAGGAAAACGAGAGGAATAAAAGGAAGGAGCGTGACCACGACAAAGAGAGGGGTGTTGAAAGAGAACGAGATCGGTCTAGAGAGAGAGAGCATTCTCGAGAAAAATCGAAAGACGGAAAAGGTAAAAGCGAAGGAGAGGAAAGGAGGCACAAAGACAAGAAAGATGAAAGGAAGCATAAAGATGAAAAAAGAGATGCCAAAAAGGAGAGGAGGCACAGCCGGAGCCGGAGCAGGGATCGTAAGCATAGGAGCAGGAGCACGAGTAGAAACGCCAGTAAGCAGAGCAGGAGCAGGAGCAAAGACAAGTCGAGTAAACATAAAAGTGGAAGTAAAGAGAAATCAAACAAGCAGAGCAGAAGCCGGAGCAGAGGAAGAACTGATAGCTGTGAAAAGTCTCGGAAACGAGACCGGAGTCCTAGTAAAGAAAGATCACGGAAACGTAGCAAAAGCAAAGAACGTTCCCACAGATACGACCACAGCGATAAGGACCACTCAGATAAACACGATCACCAGAGGAGCCAAAGTACAGAACAAGAGAATCAAGAAAAACAATCTAAAAACAAAGATGAGACTGTATAAATATTCAGAAATGGATCACATTGAATCCTATAAATGTTTTGAAATCTTGCTTATTTTTTCTTAAAATTGAGATTGTGCAGTAGTTGACGAGCACTCTTCTTCAACCTCCCTCTAGGCTGCAGATTGTCATTTCCTATTTTGAGTAGGGAAGTGCCTTTGTAATCCCATTAAAAGTGTTGGCTATTCCAGTCCATTTGTTTAGTTCGATTTCATGATGCAAATCTGTTTGTGCATTTTTTTTTATTAAAAAAAATGTTCAACTGTTTCTGAAATGTACAATCTGTACATATGTCCTGAAACTGTTGTAATTCCTTTGGCATGGTTGCCATGTTGGTTAAATTTGTACACGGCAATAAAACTGCCACTAATTCTACTTTGTTTTATAGATGTGGAATTATGGTTTCTATCTTTGCATTAGCATGGCTGTGCTTTGCATAATAGTATGGCAGAAGCTTTTAAGGATGGGTCTTGAACATGTATTATATCTAAAATATTTATGTGCATTCAGCATCCATGAAGGTTGCAGTTCTAGAACTGTTGTCTTGGGAACACATTTAAAATACATTTTTAACTGTGAAACTCAAGAATGTGTTATAATTAGATTAGACTTTTCAAAGGAGGTAGCAATTTAAGGCAGGGATATAGATTTGGCTGAGTTTTATGTAGTAGTCAATGCTACCTCACAGGGACATTTAAGATCGATAATCCTATGTACCATATCTACATATACTTTATGGCTAGTGTTTATTGTTCATGTAAAGATTCTTTCAATACAAATTACCTTATGTTTTTCTTCATTTGTTACGTTATGCCCTTGCCCTGTTTATTCATGAAACAACCTTTAGGCTAACAAAAGATGTATTGAGGGAGGCAGGATGGCAAAATAAGATCAAATACCAGACTTTTAAGTTTCAGACTGTCAGATCTTTTTTTATAAATGAGACATTTAAAATAAAACATTTTCATAGTGTTCCTTTCGTAATGCATAATGTTTTTTTAATCAAAGATTTGTGATCATTGCTTGAGCTGAAGAACTTTTCTCTAACAACAGGAACTAAATTTTAAAACATTTTATTACCTGTGAGATAATGTCAAAATGCCGAACTGAAAGATAAATCATATCACAAAAGTTCATATCTGTTTGGTAGATTTGTTCTAGTGGCCTGTATAAGAAATATCTGGAATAAAGACTGGATTAATTTATTTGTGGTTATCACCAGTTCATTGTGAAAAAACAAGTCAGCCTGGGCCTTGCAAATACAATAGAAACTGCAGTTCATTGTGTAAAGAGTAGATCTCTAGTCCAGTGTTTCTCAACCTTGGTGACTTTAAGTCCTGTGGACTTCAACTCCCAGAATCCCCCAGCCAGCATAGCTGGCTGGGGAATTCTGGGAGTTGAAGTCCACAGGATTTAAAGTCACCAAGGTTGAGAAACACTGCTCTAGTCTATGAGCAAAACTACTGAAAAAGCCAATTGGCTCTGTGGTTTTAGAACAGAATGGAGAACTAGTTTGATACGTTTATGGTGCTTATTAGTTTATTAATAGTAATCTATATAGTGAAAATAGCCTGCATGTCATCCTCAAAGAAATACAGGAAAAACATTTTCTAGTGTTAAACTCTCCATAATGATTCACACTGTGGAAAGGATATAAATATGCAATAATAATTAACATGGTGGAATTTTATAAGGATTCTAATAGCATCTTTTCTGACTAAAACATATGGTACACATTTGTTAAAAACAAGTGATTAAAAAAGTACAGTGGTGGATATAGAATGAAAAGGCATAACAAGCATTACATCCCAGTTCAAAGACAGTATTAAATATTCTTACGGGATTGTTTCAGTTTTTTCGCTCAGCACCTGATGCTGATCTGCACTTCTTCCTCTGTAAATCACTGAAAATTGTATTAAAATATACATTTAAATCCAATAATTAAGGTACTGAGTTCTTTTATACTCTGCCTCAATTTGACGCTTTAGGAACAAAGCTGATCCAGTGTTTTACTTTGTAATAGAAGTGCTAAAACTTTAGTCTCTTTCGAGGCAATGGGTTTTTCCCTATTCAAGATATGTAGGGATAATTTATATACTGTATTATGTTTATTGTTTGAAACAGTCCAAGCTCAGTCTGCTTTTCTAATGCCCCAGGTGCTATCCCAACACACTCTTTAAATTTGATTGCTTCTGAGTGCAAAACCATGTTTAGACTGCAGTTGTTCTAGTAATGTTGGATAGATCTCTTGTGAGTGCAGAAAGTTTCAGATTTAAAATACTTTGCTCACTTGTGGTAAGGATTAGTCATTAAAGAAGGAAGGTAATTCAGAAAATTCATTTGAAAATTTAAAAGTGAAATTATCTTCGGGTCAAGCCAGAATGGACACACACCTTTTTTATATATAATAATAATGGAAATGGTTTGCTATAACCACCTTTCTGAAATGCTTTTTCAACAGCCCTAGTCTCCGCTGTGTATTAATTAGGCCTTAGCTTTTTGAGATCAATCAAATATAAACTAGCCTCTGGCTTTGGTAATGGTTTTTCCTTCCTTCGGGGTTAAGTAATATGTCTTGAGGTTAAGTAATATGTCTTGAGGTTTGCTTAAGCAGAGTGGCTGGGGCTTTCTTGCCACATTTAGTTCATTCCCTTCAGCTACGTTTAGCAGTTTCAAGTGTTAAGAACTTAAAGTTTGTAGTATACTGCGTGCCAAATTTCACGTAGTTCTGAACATAGATCGATAGACATTCTTGACCATATATTTCTATGTAGAAAAACACCAATGTTAAAACAGAAATTGTATCAGATAGGATGAGTTTCTGAAACAAATATCTAAATATCCAGTTAGATGAAGCTTAGTTTAAGTACACTAATTTAACCAAAAGGGGCATTAAGAATCCACTTACCCATTCCTACGGAGTTTCCAGAACATGTCACTAGAAGAGAAACATGCAAAGATAAGTATTTAACTGAGAGCAAATACTTATCAAAAAAAGTTACATTGGCTTATTTTTTTAAAAAAAGCTTAAAATTGGTGGATGAGTTTTATACAATGAAATCAGTGTTTATAAACTTGTAAATACAATCAATATTTGGAACTAATCTAGGATAAAGCTGGGTAAGAGTTTAGTGTGGTAGCTATCAGCCTAGAAAACAGGAGGTAGTCGCGCCTTAGTCTCAAAGGGTGATGTTGGGCCAGTCACACACACTTCCCCAGGAAGGAAGCAAATCTGATTGGAAAAACTTTGGCAAGAAATCTGTCCAGGCAGTCATCAGGAATCGACACTGACTTAAAACACACACAGACACACAAAGAGAAAAACACTGGTAAATTTGAGTCTAATTGATATTATTTCTAAATAAATGCTAGTAGTTTTTCCAAAATTCTCATCAGCAGTCAACAAGCTTTCATGGACTAGATTATTGAAAAACTAGAATGAAAATGATGCGTTACAAAATAGCTGCCTATACACCATGTAGAGAGTTGCCACGTTGTTAACAGCCATCACAAAGATGGACTGATAATCTGGCAAGAGCCGAGGTGGCGCAGTGGTTAGGGTGCAGTACTGCAGGCCACTTCGGCTGACTGCTATCTGCAGTTCAGCTGTTCAAATCTCACCGGCTCAAGGTCGACTCAGCCTTCCATCCTTCCGAGGTGGGTGAAATGAGGACCCAGACTGTGGGGGCGTATGCTGACTCTGTAAACCGCTTAGAGAGGGCTGAAAGCCCTATGAAGCGGTATATAAGTCTAACTGCTATTGCTAATGGTAATAGTGTGCATGCCAGTCAATGTGTAAATCGGATGTTCAACCTTGTCAACATTTTAAGACTTGTGGACTTCAACTGCCAGAGTTCACCAGCCAGACATCATCTTAAACCAGATTAATAATGTGTGTATTTTTTATTTCCCTTCATAGCACTGTCCCACCCCAATTTTCTTTTTACTACTACAATCCCTTTTAGGGTTTTTTACCTGAATACATTTTCTTAGGACAAAATGCAATCTTTGCCCTATTATGATCAATTAGAGGTGACACTTCCACCATATAGACGTCCCCACAGGGTATCTCTGTGATGTCACAGTATGTCAGGGCTCCGACGGATATACAGGTGAAATTTCTTTTCGAGCCATACAGATTTGTGCTGTAATTTATGGATTCTTTCGAAGTGCGCCAATATACTCTGATGCTGTTGTTGCCCAGTCTGTATAATTTCACCCCAGATGGGCAGCAAGGACCTAAGAGAAAAGGAAATAAATTGCAGCTTTGGTGACTTAAAAGGCAACGTTGAATACCTAAATTTCTTATCACTTATTGCAGTGTTTCTCAACCTTGGCGACTTTAAGTCCTGTGGACTTCAACTCCCAGAATCCCCCAGCCAGCACAGTAACCCTAACCCACCACCGCATCCAGCCCTTTCTTATCAATGGAGGCCGAATGGAGCAAGTGGCCAGTTTTAAGTTTCTGGGTGTTAGCATAAAAGAGGACCTCGGATGCCCACATTGCAGCCCTGGTCAAAAGGGCCCAGCAGAGATTATACTACCTGAGATTTCTCAGGAAGCAACAACTGAATTAAAAACAGCTGGTGATCTTCTACCACTGCACTATAGAAGGTATTTTAACACTGTATGGTTTGCCAATTGCACAGTGGCAGATAGGACAGTGCTCCTCGAGGTTAATGTCATTGCCCAGATGATCATTGAAGAGCTTGATAGCTCCCGCTGCCTTAAAAAAGTTCAAAACATTCTTAAAGATCCATCTCATCCTGGGCACCCATATTTTTTTTTTACTATTACCATCTGGCAGACGGTACAGGATAATAAACACAATAGGCTGAAAAACAGCTTCTATCCCAGGGCAGTACCCATATTGAATTCTACTTATAGTGCAATATGAATGCAACATCTGGGGTTTTCAATTAAATTGTATAGAACGTAAACGATGTGTGTTTGTGTTTTATTTTTATAGTTATAACGTCCACGGAACAATGGCATTTAATTTCGTTGTACGAGGAGCAATGACAATAAAGTAAGACTAAACTTTTTTTTAAAAAGTAGGCCTGGGCTTCATGACAGCCTAGCTAGACACAGAAGATCATTCTCTTTTGTATCAATATATCAATGATTCTCTAGAGCAGTGTTTCTCAACCTTGGCGACTTGAAGATGTCTGGACTTTAACTCCCAGAATTCCCCAGCCAGCGAATGCTGGCTGGGGGATTCTGGGAGTTGAAGTCCGGACATCTTCAAGTTGCCAAGGTTGAGAAACACTGCTCTAGAAGAAGAAGAGCTGAGAAGAGAGGATCCAGATTTCAAGCCCATGAACATAAATTACTAATCGCATGCAAACATTGTTTTTACATTCTGGTATCTCAACAGCAGTTTTAATCAGCAATTTCACATACTTACTAGAAGAAAATCCTTTGTATGTGCAGTCAGAGATCAAACCTGTTTCACTAACTGCCTGGACCGTTACAGTGTAGTTAGTTCCACAGGTAATGCACCCCAGGAGGCAAGAGGTTTGGAGGGTACGACACCGGGCTTGTCTTTGGTCTGATTCCAAAATGGTTATGTATGCCTTTGCACCAGTCCCAGGAGACCAGCTGATATTGGCCGTGGATTGTGTCACTTGAGTTACTGAAAGATAAGCTGGGCAGCAAGGATCTTAGGAAAAAAGGAAGAACATATTTAGCATTTGTTACTAGCCAGGGGTGGAACGTAAAACATTTCGTCACCGATTCTCTGGGTGTGGCTTGGTGGGCGTGGCTTGCCGAGGGGTCATGTGATGGGGTGGGCGTAGCCAACTTATTTTAATTTTTAAAGCATTTTTCNGGAATTCTGGGAGTTGAAGTCCATCCCTCTTAAAGCATGCTGACTGGGGAATTCTGGGAGTTGAAGTCCATCCCTCTTAAAGCATGCTGACTGGGGAATTCTGGGAGTTGAAGTCCATCCCTCTTAAAGCCTGCTGGCTGGAGGATTCTGGGAGTTGAAGTCTACCTCTCAAAGCATGCTGGATGGGGCATTCTGGGAGTTGAAGTCCATCCCCCTTAAAGCCTGCTGGCTGGGGGATTCTGGGAGTTGATGTCCACCATTTCTTAAAGCATTATGACTGGAAATTTCTGGGAGCTGAAGTCCCCTCTCCTCTTAAAGCTGCCAAAATTGAGAAACACCTGCTCTACAGTGGTGGGTTTGTGATACTGGCTTTAGAGTCAGGCAGCGACTCCCCCCCCTCCCCAAATCCCAAATGATGCACAACCTTCTGGCTTCCTGGTTTTCAGACAATGAGAAAAAACAAAATATAATGGAAGGTCCCATTCTTGTCCCTTTAGGGAAAAAAGCTCACATTTTAGATGGATTCAGAGACCTCTTTTTAAGCTTGGCTGTCAATCTATCTTGACGCACTGCCCCTCCTCGGTCGTGCCAGAGGTTGGGGCGGTCCCCGGGAAAAGGTCCAGAATTGCCCCTTCTGTTGAGCAAGATGGCATTTTCTAGAAGCGCTTCTCTCTTTCTTTCTCCCTTCCCTTTCCCCCCATCTGCGGTCTCGTCTCAAAATGATCTCCAGGGGAATTTGAAGAAGAATCGAAGCAGCCTTCCGTTTCCGAGCAGCAGCGGCATCAGCTGAAGCATCGCGAGCTGTTCCTGTCCCGCCAGTTCGAGTCCCTGCCCGCCACTCACATACGGTGAGCAGGTTTCTAAAGAATGGAGAGCCGTGAGGGGGGAACCTGTGGTCCGCCGTCACCAGCTGCTCTTCTGGTTTCCAGCGCACACATTTTCTTAGCCCTCTTCTGTTTGGTTACAGGGGAAAGTGCAGCGTTACCCTCCTCAATGAAACGGATATCCTCAGCCAGTACTTGGATAAAGAGGTGGGACGCTGGACAAGCATTTGTCTGAAGGGGTGTGGGGTTTCCTGCCTGTGCAGGGGGTTGGACTAGAAGACCTCCAAGGTCCCTTCCAACTCTCTTACTCTATTCTATTCCCTATATTCTATTCCTTCATTCCTCTGTTTTATTCTGTTCTATTCTCTATATTCTATATTTTATTCTACTTTCTATTTTCTGTGTTCTTTTCTTTTTTATATTCTATTTTATTATACTATTCTATTCTATTCTCTATTCTGTATTCTGTATTCTGTTCTCTATATTCTATATTTTATTCTACTTTCTATTTTCTGTGTTCTTTCATTTTTTTATATTCTATTCTATTATTCTATTCTCTATTCTTTTCTGTATTCTATTCTAGTCTCTATAGTCTATATTTTATTCTTTTTTTTCTGTTTTCTGTTCTCTTTCTGTATTCTATATTCTAGTCTATTATTCTAGTCTATTATTCTATTCTCTATTCTTTTCTGTATTCTAGTCTCTATATTCTATATTTTATTCTTTCTTTTTTCTATTTGTTTTCTGCTCTCTTCTGTATTCTATATTCTATTCTATTATTCTATTCTATTTATTATTCTATTCTCTATTCTTTTCTGTATTCTAGTCTCTATATTCTATATTTTATTCTTTCTTTTTTCTGTTTGTTTTCTGTTCTCTTTCTGTATTCTATATTCTATTATTCTATTCTGTTCTGCTCTGCGGTGGTAACGTGGGAATGGCCTTGCGAGCTGCAGACACGGAAGAGGAAGAGGGGTCTCGGCCCACAGAAGGAAAAGGGGCCTGGGGAACGTTTTAGGAATGGGCCCACCACCCCCGAGAGTAAATGGAAAGGAGGGGAGAGGGGCTTTCAAAGCTTTGCCAGATTCTCTATATGGAAGCTGACTAAGAAGAAAGAGCTGGATTCTCCTGCTCGTCCTGCTTCTCTGGACTACCTCGCAGGGATGGAAGGCGGGGAAGAGGGAAAATGTTGAGGTTCCTCAGAGAATGCTGAGATCTGGGCTTCCATGATTAGGGGCTCTTGACTCCCTTGGGCAAGGGAGGGGGGAAGGGAGAGAAAGGAAGGAGGAAAAGAGGAAGAAAGGAACAGGGAGGGAGGAAAAGAGGAAGGAGTGGAGGGGGGAGGAGAGGAAGGAAGGAACGGAGGGAGGGAAGGAGGAGAGAGAAGCAAGGGAGGAAAAGAGGAAGGAGTGGAGGGGGGAGGAGAGGAAGGAAGGAACGGAGGGAGGGAAGGAGGAGAGAGAAGCAAGGGAGGAAAAGAGGAAGGAGTGGAGGGGGGAGGAGAGGAAGGAAGGAACGGAGGGAGGGAAGGAGGAGAGAGAAGCAAGGGAGGA